TCGATGGAGTAGGCGATTCGGGCGTAGGTCAGCCGGGCGTAGGTCACCCGGGCGTAGACATTCGATGGAGTAGGCGATTCGGGCGTAGGTCAGCCGGGCGTAGGTCACCCGGGCGTAGACATTCGATGGAGTAGGCAATTCGGGCGTAGGTCAGCCGGGCGTAGGCCACCCGGGCGTAGGTCACCCGGGCCTGAGCCGCGGCGCCATTTGACCGCTGAGGGTTAACGATGGCCATATTTTGACTCAGAAGGGCCTCTAACGAGCCCATGAGGGGCTCGTTAGAGCACCTCATGGGCACTAAATAGCCACACTAAGATCTCTATAAGGGCCCCACGCCGGCTTCTGAGGGACTCTTGCGGCTTTTAAGAACCCCTCGGTGGTCCCAAAGGTCCATTACTGGCCTCTGAGAGTTCTTACCGGCATTGCAGTCTCCATTATGCCCTATGAGGCAAACTTCGAGGCCATTGAGGCAGACGCAAACGTTGAGCTAAGACGCTAAAATTTTGCATACTTCTTATTGGTCCAACAAGCAATGGGAAAACACCAGGGAAGCTGGTCTTCCAAAAACTTCACAAAATTTGACGGGGCCTAGGTGGCTGCTAAGGGGTTTTCCGGGGTGCTGAACACAAATATCGTGTTAGTTTTTATCACAGATGATGTCGTTAACCTGCGCCCCGTAGGGCTACCGGTGGACCCTACCACCCGTAGGGGGGGGGGGGGGGGCGTTTCGCCCCCCCCCTAAGATCTCGGAAATTTACCGGCCGATTTTCAAAATTCAAACGGCGTTCGATAGCCCAATCCGGGAACTACCATGTGATCAAATTTCATTGACCTAGGTCAAACCGATGACGTCACAGGTCAGGTCAAAGGTCGGATTTTCACCGTTCACAGGCAATTCAAGAAATGTGTTGTGAAATCGAGTAAATTGGTAATTTATTGAAAACCATCGGTGGTATATTGTTCGTCAAACATATACTTTGCTATCTGAGGTCACTGATACCAGGTCAGGACACAGCGAGGTCAGGTCACCGGGGTCACAATATGAAAGTGTCGTGTGATACATGTTTTATGGTCCATTTTACATGACAAATGCGATTTTGTGGGTTAGGCAGCCTTTGGGGCCAGCCTAGGTCACGTTTTGGTAAAGGTCAGGTCAAGGTCAGGTCAAATTAGGTCAAATTTCAAAGTTGATATTTTTGCATAAAATGGGTATCAATTCGATGCAACTCGTCACGGGGGGTCTAATGGTGATCATTGTTTTGCTCTACGAGGTCTAGAATTGCCAAAACTTGAGTTTGAAAATTTGGCGTTATCATTTTTGAGCAGTTTTTGGCTATAACTTGGCCAAAAAACGAGGCATCGATCTGAAATTTGGTATGTAGATAGAAGACGGTAGGTGCTATCACATATATTCCGGGTTTTTCGAAACTCAAATTCTTTTTTGGATTTTTTGGCTAATATATCCAAAAATGCTTTTTTGGATTTTGGGGGTCAAAACTTTAAAAAATAAAAATCAGAGATAATAGTTTTGTAGCCCTGTCAATTTTACATCTTTTATGTTTGATCATTTTTCTGTATCTTCAAAGCTGTAGGCCTGACAGGTCTTCTCGCGAAGGTCTTTTTTCGGTCGAAAATGACAAAACATGACGTCATTCTGACGTTATTTGTGGCCAACCTATCATAGTCACAATGTGTAAAATTGATGCCCAGAGGGGTCCTTAAAGTTTGGTGGCGATATCTCCAGCCGTTTAGGAGATATCAACGGAAAAGGACAGGGGGGGGCCGTTTCGCCCCCTCCCCCCTACGGGGCGCGGGTTAAGCGTTTAGACCAGGTCAGGTCAACCGATAGGGGTCGTGACGGGTATTCGTAGTACCTGTCATTCGCCTCTGACAGCTTCGTAACATGTTACGAAGGCACCAAAACTACTTCGTAAATGTTCAAATAGTTTCTAAATTCGAATTCAGCTCCAAAAACTAGCCCAGAAACATGTAAAGCTCGAAAAAGTGAACCGAGGTCACCAAAGGTCAATGACCTGACCTGACCTCCAGGTGACCTTGACATCCACCCAAATGCATGGGAGCAACATCAAATCACATGTTTGAACGTTTGAAACCACGAGAAGCTTGCAAACGCGCGGCTAATGTGAGCCGACATACGCCGAATCGCGATTTCGGGCAAACATGGGTTCGAGAAATAGGTCACAGGTCAAAGGTCACTTTGGTGAGGGCATTGAATTTTCAGAGTAGGTGTATGATTGATAAACTCGAAGGTATTGAAAGTTTCATCGCGATCGGCCGCTTTTTACGCGAGTTATTCGCAATAAAACATGGGGGTCCATCTGACCCCTCCCCCCTACACAATACACATGCGAGGGTTAAACGTTGAATATTGCTGATATAGCTCTTTTTTTTCAAAAGGACTCTGGCTCCAAGTATGTTTTTAGAACAAGCACGTGTTTTAGCAAGCAAAACGGGCAAAAACTGAACCTGAGAAGCGTGCGTTTGAGTGTGCGCTGTAGACCAGCTGCAGGTACTGAAAGGTGTCACGGGGCACCTTCATGTCCACTGGCTCACCTCCAGCGTTGAAGACAGAGCTGTATTTCAGTGAAGCTGGAGTGGCGCGGGACGCCCAAACACGCACTCATATGGCGACAGGCCTGTGGCCGCACTAGTGTTGGCGTTAACCCGCGCCCCAGTGGCGGTCTCAGCCAACTTCGCCCTAGTGGGGGGGGGGGGCATATGTTACCACCCACCTCTAACTCAAAAACTAAGAGGGCTAGAAAGACGCGGTAAAAAGCAGTCGATAGCTCTCAATGCGTGCGTTTGAAAATATTTCATTCATTTTTCACCTTAGAGCAATATTGGGGTGACCAGAGGTCATCAAAGGTCAAAATTTGCCAATTGTCATTATATTTTTCAGAAAACATGCCGCTATCTCAGGAACTATGGTAGCTAGAAAAACGCATGGAACAGCAAACGATAGCTTTTGAACTCTTCTTTTGAAAAGGTCATTATCAATATTGACCTCAGGTCAACGGTTTAGCCTCCAGAGGGCAAAAACTCCAAAAATAGCTGTTTTTACGAAAAGTGTTTTTCGACAATAACTTTCGACTTCAAAAAGCCACGACATTTCTATTGCCAGAATCGTGTTCCTCTCGCCGAGACGCGTCGAATGAACTATAATTTGACCTTGAAAGGTCAACTTGAAAATTTGACCTCAGGTCAAGGTCATGACCTTACCGGAAAAGGTCATGTTGCATATCAGTCGATGCGTCTCAACAAGACAAACACAATGAGACCATCCCCAGCGTTCTATCTCTTTCCAATCGCGAGTTATTGGCAAAAAACTGTTTGTAGCCTCAAGTGACCTCGGATGACCTGTCTAGAGGCTATCAGCAAAAATGACACCTTGGTCATCACGAGTGGACTAAATCATTGTGATTCTGAAATATTTGGACTGTTCCGATGCGTACACACGGATCTAGAGGCATTTTCATTTTTCTCCATTGACTTGTAATGGAAAGGTCACGCCACTGACCTGACCTTAGGTCACGGATATAAAAAATCCGAGATATACAAATTGTAGGCGCCCATAACAGCATGCAATCCACCAAGTTTAAAACCTTTCTGACAAACACTGCAGGCTGGACATGATTGCAAACTTTTTTAGGCTTGGTCAGTTAACTTGACCTGGTGACCTGACCTGACATGACCTGGGGTCAAAAATTTCACACATTGTCCAAAATTGATGTACCAAAAGCTACCCCAAGCGGCGCGGCGCTACGCGTCGCGGTTTTTTATTCACACGCTAAAAACGCGACAGGGTGGTAACATATGCCCCCCTCCCACTGGGGCGAAGGTTAAAAGTGACTGCGCCGCTCAGGCAACGGGACCAATGACGGTGCTCTGCGGCGGCGAGTTTAGCCAGTGTGTCGATGAGGAAACGGTGGCTACGCTCACAGTAGGCGTTCCCTTGAGGGAGATATGCTGTCGTGCTCTGTTTGATTCCAAGTTTGTTGTAGAACATCTTCGCTAATTACGTTTTCAACCAGGTTTCTGCTCTGATCAGAGTGAATCAATTTAGGCACGCCAAACTGACCTACGATACGGTCCATCAGTGTCTGAACCATCTCGGATGTTTCCTGTGTTTTAAGTGGGAAATCCCATACAAATCGAGTGAACGCATCGATGCACGTCAAAATATACTTGTAACCTTCCGGCTCACTGGCGGGGAGCCCCGATACGATATCGATGTCCAGCCCTGCCCTTAAGAGATGATAAGAGGAGTTCTATAGCCTTGGTCCAGCCTGTCAAGGATCTCAGACGCCTGCAATGAACCCAGTGGGGCCTTCGGTGGGCGAGGAGGGTCTTTGTGGCGCGCGCAGACCTCGCACTGTTGGCAGAATGCCTTCACATCAGTCTGCATTCTCGGCCAGTAGAACTGCCGTCGAAGTGCACCCTCTAATTTGGCCGCCACCTGGCGTCCCCCTCCTAGTCCACTGTGATGGTCATTCATCAGGCCCCTTCGCAACTGCTGGGGCACCACAATCTGGAGACATGATGGGGCTCCTTTGTAGGGCTGGACTCGCCTGTACAACACGGGCGTATCGCCTGTGAGTAGTGAGTAGTGAGTACCAATCGGTTCCACTCTCGTAGCAGCTGAGCTGCGTGCCTCGCTTGGGTGGGGTTTCCGATGCCGCTGTTTTCATTCATGCAAAAAAGGTAACGTTGGGTCATTCGAAGTGACCTGGTGACCTGACCTTGAAAGGTAGAAGGTTCAAACTTGCACACCATGTGTAAAATTGATGAGGAAAAAGTTATGCAAAATTTCGCGGCGCTCCGCGACGCGGTTTTTGCGCTATCCGCGAAAAACCTCTGGGGGGGGGGGGGGGGCGGTCAACTGCCCCCGTCGATGCGCGTGTTTAACATGTAAATATAACCTTCCTGGCTACCGTTCAGTGACATCTCATCTGTCCATATTCATTAGAGCTGTTTTTCAGGTGTACCTTTCGGTCAATGAGTCTCTACAGCTGGGACAAAACTACACCCTATCGTTTGAGTTCAACTACACACTCCGAGAGGCTCTGGAGGGTTTCTACCTCAGCCACTACACGGCAGCCAATGGCTCCAAACGGTGAGAATTGCGCTCCATCAGACGCCAGGTGATGTATCCTGCAAAAGCGATTGAGTGTCCGCCTTTTCATGCTATTGCTCGTTTATTTAACCCGCGCCCTGCTTGGGGGGGGGGGGATGAACACCCCGCCGTGGTTTTTCGCAAATATCTCATGTTTTGTTACCACGCCACCAGCTTTCAGTTCACCGAGTTGTATAACATTTAGTTCGTTTTTTATGTCACTGACCTGAGGTCAGTTAGAGGTCATTACGTCGTAATGCTTAGCCTATGGCAAAATATTCAGATAACTCCAATTCGGAAAATACTAGAGATATCCGCTATGTTCTATCACTTTTGTGTGTTGATACCACAGTACTTGACATGATGTCACACAGTTTTTCTTTGTTTGGTGAACTTATCAAAGATTCAGGTCAAATGAGGTCAACTGAGCTGGGGTCAAATGACGTGTGTGCCAATAACTTGTCACATTATAAAGATAAAGCTTTCAAAATGGTATCATTCTGTTCCTCTTCAACAGCCAAGTCGAATGATATGCAACATTAAGCATTTCAACCATTCTTCAGACTTTAATTCTACTTAAAATGTGCTTTACTTTTTAGGTACACTTAAGCAAGCAAAAAAAGTAGGTAGGGGAGACCCGGGAGGTATGGGCCCCCTGGAGGTATGGGCCATCGCAGTTTTGAAGAAGTGTTGCGTATTTTTACACATTTGACCGTGTAAACTGGTAGCAGCCATTCCGTTATACAACCCACGTGATTTTCAAAATCCTCCTCAGTCTTCTTTGGCGATGAGCGGTGATAAAGCGTTTTTGCCCTCTTCGTGTAAAATACTGTACATACAGAAAATTCGTGATAAATTTGAAACAGGCTCGTTTTATGATGTCAGACCAATGCTAACATAAAGTTTAAAGCATGCAAATTAAGACTGGATAGACAATTTGAAGCTTTCTTGCAAGAGTATGGGCTGAGATGCTATGCAAATTCTGGCGTCCTAACCGGGAGGTTCGGGCCACCCACCCCCGTTGATCCTAAATCAATAAAAAGATGCTTTCATTGAGTGTCATCTTCAATAAGTTTTATTTTTGTCGCGCAAGGTTGAAAATTTAACTTCAAATTTCATTCGAACAGAAAAATATTATTTATTTTATTTCATGGTGAATGATAGAGTTTACCAAAATACATATGTGCCCAAGCGACCTCAATGAAGTAAGCTGTTGGCCGCTTATGCGGTTCCTGGGCTCTAAGAGAGATCAAGGTAGATACCAGCTACGAGTATTGTTCTCATTGTCGATAAAAGAATATGAAACATGGCACCGGCCCATACCTCCCGGGCCATGGCCCATACCTCCCGGTGTATTTTGATGAATCGAAAAAGCACATCATTTATTGAAAGTTATCTCGAGACAAAAAAGTTGATCCCAGATGCCTAATATCAGGCACACTTTGCAGGCGAAAGGCAATTTCACGTGCACAGAGTGAAAAACCGGGTCTAGCCACTGCCCACTGGAAGAAAATGGCGTTTTCACAAAACCGGCCCATACCTCCCGGGTCTCCCCTATATCACTTGACGCGCCTTGACGTGCTGAGTTCACTGGTGCTTTTGTTTAGCTGTATCTTAACTAAATCAAAAGTTATCAGCGAAAAACTTTTGACTTGTTTTAGCGAAATTTTTACATTTATACCTAAAAAAACCTAAATATTGACCTAGAGAAACTAAATCTGCACAGGGGCGAGAATTCTAAGGGGGCCAGTGCCACCCACCTACCAAATTTGGTATTTCTAGGTGCCATAGGAGTCAATCGCGAGGGAAGGTGGGGAGGGGGTGCATCGACCCCCCCCCCCTCTTGCCAGGCCGCGTTATGAAGAATGCCCTGCCAGGGCGAGGTTAGATTTGTTCAAACAACTAAGATGCGTTCAGCTTTTTTACGATATAAGTCGACTGATATGCAACATAACCCTGTAACCTTGACGTGAGGTCATCTTTCCAGTCTTCTCTTACAGGTCAATTTACAAATAATTTGACGCGTCTAGACGAAATAAATGCGACGCCAGTAAAATCAAAGAAAGACCAGTATAACGCCTTTCGGGGCGACTAACGGAGCGAGCGAGAGGGTGAGCCTTGCACGTGCGAAATTTCGAGGGGGCACCTCCAAATAACTTGTGCACGGCACCCTACTAACCGGTCTTTAGCGATGTGCCAAATTTGAGCACAATCGGCCCAGCCGTTCTCGAGATCTGGAAGCGGCACCCTGCACGTGCGCACGTGCAAAATAGGTCCATCTGACTTTTGTACGGCACCCTACTAACTGGTCCCTAACCGTGTACCAAATTTGAGCGCCATCGGTCCAGCCGTTTTCGAGATCTGGAAACGACCCCTGCACGTGCGCACGTGCAGCAGCACCCCAACTTTGGCACATGAACATGCGTTGCCTAGTGGGTGCCTACCTACATGCCAACTTTCAGCGCAATCGGCCAAGTAGTTGCCGAGATATTGCAACTATTACAAAACTGATACTTTGCACCTGGCACGTGCATAAGGGGCCACCCACAATCCACATGCATCGGGAGTAGTCCAATACTTGGTAGAAGGAATGAAGCTACCCTACAAAAATTATCGCATGTAAATCTGTCAAGTGGTTGCTGAGATATAAGCCTCGCAAAAGCGTCCGCACGGCCGGCTGGCCGGCCGGCCGCTCATACTCAGAAATTTCCGTTAATCTAAGGAAAGACTCCGCTCACTTCGCTCGCTCCGTAAAAAGCTAAGTGTCAAAAATGGTTGGATGAAAATGTGTTCGAAAAACGTCATATTAAAAAAAAATTGCCCTGTGGAGGGTAAGCTTCAGCTGTTGACCCTTTGTCAAATAAAAAAAACTCAAAGAGTTCCTTGTCAGAAAGAGATATCAAAGCGTTTTTTTCTTCTTCTGCGGCGCTGTAGCCATTTGTTCCGGAGTTCCCTGGGGCATTCCACGATAGATCGTACCAGGCCCGTCACCCTCCTCTCAGATTTTAATGAAAATCGGTTCTAGGGGTAATCATAGGCCCCAAAGACGCCTGGCAAAATATCAAACTTCTCAGATCAAAACTTTTTTAGTTATATTGCATTACATTTTTTTAAACTTCGATTTGTAACGGTGAGTTTGATGGCCTATAACTCAAGAACGGGTTAAGCAACCAACAAACGGTAGACAACACTAAGCTTGCGATGAATCAAAAATTAATATTGCTTTTTAAAAATTCAAAAGAAAAATTTTCATTGTTGAACAAAAACCTTACTCTTTTTTCATTCGCCTCTAATGATTTTTGGGACCAATATTTTTCACATTTTCATTTTCTCAAAATAAACTTCACGTCATTGCAAATCGACATGCAAAAAATTAGAAAGGTATTCTTTCTGTAAGTTCCTCATTTTCCCGCAAACAAAATGGGTTTCGGAGGGGTTGATACGACCGGTATATAGGACCTTGATACGACCCCAGCACGCCGTTTCGTTTCTAGTAGAGCTAGAGCCTCGCGGAAAAAAACGAGCGTGTGTGCCGTTACAAGTCGCAGCGAGTGGTGCCCGATTTTAAGGTCTCAGGTTAACCGGTAGCGTCTGAGGTCAGGTCAAGTGACTGAAGTTACGGGTTCGGTTTTTAGTAAATAACTTCGCAAAAAATGGCCGCAAAGCCGCGATTTTGGCATCATTGTGTTCGCCTAGCTCAGGTGCGTCGAATGGTATACTTTTTGTTAGGATAAGGTCAACTTAAGTACTTGACCTCGGGTCAAGGTCAGGTCAGAGCCCTTCCGGTCGCGAAGCTGGGCAAAGGGTATCATATGGCATATCGTTTGATTCGGAAGGTCTTCCCAAGTCCATTGGTGACTTTCCCGACTCTCTAGCTCAATTTGATCGGGAGTTATTGACGAAAAACTCGTATGACCCTAGTGACGTCATAAATGACGTCACGCAAGGTTAACAATGCAAAAGTGAAGCATTGGACTTTGCAAGAAATGCATGAAATCACGATACCATGTACGTGAGATAGTTTTAGATCATTCTCGGCGTCAAAATAACAGTTTTTAAATTTCCCCATTGACTTATAACAGTGATGTCACTTGACCGACCTGACCTCATGTGACCTTAAAAAATTCCCAGATATACACGTTGTGACTGTGAGACCTCTGCAGGACACCATGTATGCGTCCTGTAACTCTCATCTCGGACAGCTATGGTCATTGGCGTCCAAAACAAGGTCAGAACCAAACAGCCTTTTTTCACTCTCGCGCTTATAGGAAAGAGGGTTGGATGAACCCTCTTTTCATTTTTTAGATGACTCAGACTTCAATTAAAATTGCAGGAACCCGTGATGTTACTAGGCAGCTTTACCACGCCATTTGTAAACTCCCCTCCCGAAATCACTATTCGAAACCGTTATCGTGACGTAAAATAAATACATTTATAGAAAGAACACCTTCCTATTTTTTTGCATACGCCTTCACAATAAGCCAAACATTTTCTTAAAGAAATAAAAATTCAAAAAATTTGGTCCCAAGGTCCAAAAAATACAAATGAAAGAAAACTCGATATGTCATATATCAAAAGTAGCGTATTTTTCAAAATTTCAAAAATACATATTAATCTCTCTTTCATTCCAAGTTCAATGTTATATAACATTTGGCATTTGAAATTTTATTAGCAGGGTTTTGAATATTGAAAGAGATAGGCCTGTTTTTGCTATCGCTCGATGAGTCAGGCTCTGCTGATTCTAATGATATTTATTGTATACCGTAAAGTGGAGCTGTTTGAAACGGATTTTACAGTTTTTGGCCTCTCCCTTCAAAACGGTTGACACTTCCTATAGCATGTAAATTGCAAAAACGTAGTTCTCAGTAACCGCTCTTAGATAGATCAATTTTGGTTCAGCTAGTAACCATAAATAAAGTTGTTTTTGTACCTGAAGCCTGTCTCAAATAGCCACATAGTGTGGGGCTATTTGAGACAGTTTTGGTTGCAAGGAAATTGAA